TTTTTTAATAGAAAATTATCTTTTAAAAAACAACAACAGTGCTGTCCTTCTTGATAAGATATCACTTATATTTTCATTTTCTTACTTTTATCAAGAACATGTGGTTGAGATTTGAAGCATCTGTATTCATTCACGGGGGGTTGTCAGAATGAAATACTTAGGGTAGCCCCCAAAATAGACGCTGATCTGGGACATCTCTCTGGAGAGCTCTGTGTATGAGAGGACAGAGGCCATCAGTGCCCTTAAACCCACAGCTTTCCCTGTATAGAGCCCCAGAAAACCTCAGCATGTGGTTCCAATGAGCACATAATGAGTGCGATTTACCCACAACATGATAGTAGCGGAAGACTGAACAACTAGGCCTCAAAACCACCATCTTCTCGCCTCAACACATGTTTTCGTACTGTACAGAATATCTGCTGGCGGATGAATTGCTCATGGCTTTATTCCCCACCGGATTTGGAAGAAACATTCTCTGGTAGAATGTGATGGTTAGCGATTCATTTTCTTTATATTTTATGTTACAGTCATCTATATTGCTGTGACATACTGTACTTATTTTGCGAGATAAAGTAGAGCCATCATTAGTGCTCTAGTCTAAAGTTTTGTTTTGCTCATGCGGCCACTCCTTTCAGTCTTGATTAGGTTTTCCAGCTAATGGAGAGTTTCCTGGACGAAAGAGGGGAAAGAAAAGCTACCAGGCGAAGTCACGGGAGGCATTTCTAAACATTTGTGGTGCAGAGAAGTCGTAATAACCCTCGCTAAGGTGAAGGTGCATAAATTCTAAAAAAAAAAAAGAATACAACCACAATTTGCAGGGTTTAAGTTGAATTTCCCTCAAGGACAAATAAGGTAATAATCCTGACACATACAGACAGAAATTATTCAGACTAGATGCTTTATTTTCATTGGTAATGGAGGCTCCTTCTGTAGCTTATTTGATAAGATGAAGATATGAAACATACCTCTTGTTTTACCCTGAAAAAGCGGGTGGCGTTACAGCAGATACAGATCAAGAAGCCAGATTCAGGGTTAAACAAATCGCCCTCCAATCAGGACGTCTGGCTGCAGTGATGATGGTCTTATGTCAAGTGGAGGGTGGGTGCCTGTAAGTCGTTGTCAGGCTTGGATTGGTAAAGACCAGATGGTTCCACTATGAAATGAAATGTGGGTTTGTAAAGTCCAGATGGCTGCCGAGCTACGAACCTCTGCTAAATGCTCCCGCTATTAACAAAAGAACAGCATACGTTTTTCTTTTTTACTTTGGTGTATTGGAACATATCACTTTTAATGTATCCATGGAGAGGAGGCAAACATTCCCATCGTGCAGAATAAATGGGGAGTGAATGTGTACTGAACAGACTTTATTGAGCTGAATGACTACTCTGATGATTTACAGCCTGCCATCATGAAGTGAGCAAATTCTGGACTCACCATAAATCAGGTTTTCTTTCGAGGAAGTATGCAGTTTCTGTCATATTTCAAGAGCAACAACTTTTACATGAAACAGGAACCGACCCTCTGATAGGAAGTGTACTGGTGTATAATGGAAAAACCTCAATGTGCAGCCAGCATTAATGGGTAAATTACACCTTGTGTATGAAAATCACAAAATGCATTATTCATCAGCAACTTCCATTAGCTTAAAGTGAGAATAAAAAGAGATTCTTGATAATAGAATAATGAGTCATTATGCCGTATGAATAAGTAATGTCACCTTTACAGACCTGTCTGTGTATTGGTGAGAAAGTTGTCCTGGCTGGATCCACCATCAACAGCTCAGCCTGTGCCAACTGCTGTGCTTGACTGCACCAGGACCAGGTCCCGATTCACCAACGCCATCTTCTCACGCAAAGACAAACGAGCAGCTGTCAAGCTGTCAACTCCCCAGCGGTGACCTTCATCCACAGAAATGCTGTCAGATGGGGCCCCTTGGCCATCAAGTTTAGAAAGGCACCCATGTTTTGATTTTGCCTGCTTTTTCCCTTTTGTGAATGCACTTACAACTCCAAAACTTCCTGTCTGATGAGTGACAAAGTGACCTGGACAAAGAATTAGAAAAACAAAGCCATGTAATTCTAAAAGGGGCAGAAGGGAAGGAAGATGTAAATGAGCCCAAAAAAAGCATGGCTCCATGACACAATTTAAATATGTATCTGGGCTCAGGGCTCTTGCTGATCACAAACGGATGGACATAATCTAAGCAAATGGCTCTTTAGAAAACCAGTCGATCATTTTGGTAAGTGCTGTAGCTTGCTTTTTTTTTCAATTTAGTAGTCTAGATTAGAAAACTGACACAACTCCAGTGTCACTCTGTCAAACAGGAGGCTGGGTCCAGCAGCTGGTCAGCTCAGCATGGCATGACTGGGAACAGGGGAAACAGCAAGTCTCAATAAAATTAACAATTTTTCATCATATCTTGTTTGTTTAATCAGTACGTAAACAAAGCCGGATACACACGCACACGCTGACTCTAACGCACACACACAGAAACTTGAATGAGGTGCCAGTGCCACCCGAGCTTCCACCATTTCTTCACTCTATACTTAGAATATCTTCACCGCTTTTCCTTGCTGTGAAACCAGCAGTCTCACAGCATTGTCAAACTGTCACAGACCTAAACCTATTCATTTTGATTAATTACTGGGATATTGTTTTTTCCTTCCCCCCTCCCCCCCACGCCCTCTTTTGCTTACATAGACACGAGAAAACTGCAGAGGGAAAGTCAAACTTCAGAGACAAAGTCATGGTGCATTAGAACCTAGAAGGAGGTGAGCATTTAAAGTAGATGCTTACTGGCTTGGATGACACAAAGTCTTGCTCATAGTTAAACAAAAATGACTTGATTAATGTGACTGGTACCATAAAAATAAAAACAAAACATCTGGATACAGGTTATGAAACTTGCCACAAGACTGCGTTAATCAGACTGAGCCTGAGATATTTATCAATGTTCCCTTCTATATCAGATGCTTGGGAGAAGTAGTGATTTAAACATCTCAGTTCTAACATAACCCTCCTGTAAGCTATAAAATTAGAACGTCAAATCTGTTTACATAAAGAAGTACTTTGTCTTGGTTTTGTGACTCAGCCCTGTTCACTTCAAAACTGTGGGTGTGCCACTTCTAATTCAAGGTAATCTAGACTGATTTCCAAATTTGGCCAATAAGATAATAAAAGTAATGTATTTACGTGCGTGGTTCCTTTAAAGTCTACTGTAGTTTTCTTTGGGATGGCCCTAAAGAAAATCAATGAAACATTGATGAAAAACAGACGTTTTTAATTGTTATATAATATAATTATTATCATTGTTGATAATCTTTTCTTCATAAAGGCAACATTAAACGGTGTTCCATTGGGCATTAGTTTTTATGTCAATCAGGGAGTCAAATCCAAGGACATTTTAATATTAAATTCTTATATCTAAATCATTTCCACATTTCAAGTTGAGGCAGAAATTAGTTTGCAAACTGTTAAAACATGTTGCTGCTACTGTCCTCTCTCCAGGTAAAAGGCACCAAGTGAGAGGCCGAATGACTTCTAAAGATTAAAAGTTCTTTTCTTTTTTATGTTTTTACATGAAGGTATGTAGGAGGAAGACTAGAATACAAAACTCTTGGCACTTTTTATGTTTTTACACCAACAAGTAAGTAATAATTGCAAAGTGGAATCCCACACAGAGAGAAATGATGGCAGCAGGTATAAAGCAACTCAGACCAAAGAAGGAGCGGCACTGTGACGAGACACACGGGAGAGCTGCACAGTGCGGGTATCTGAAGACAATCGCATGGAAGGCATTTGCCCGATTGTTCTTCTTCAGTGCATCAGCTTAAGCAACAGCCAGATAGCAATCTATTATTTTCTTTACTGTTGTAAGTCAAAGAGAGGGCACTTATTTCCTGTTCTCTGCACTTGGGGATGTCTCGTGCCTTGCGGTCTGAAAGTTAACCACAAACCATATTACAATTAAGCCGTTGGAGTGCTGGGGATAAAGAGATGTACCGCAATGAAACAAAACCGACTTGTGAGTTATTCCACCGCTGTTGTGTTTACTACAAAGATACTTAATCACCAGTTGCAGGGTGGAAGGTTCATTTTCATGCTCTTGTTGTTTGTCATGCAGGGCCTTGATGTTTTTCTTTTTTTCTCTTAAACTTTGCTGCTGTGGTACTTCTCCAACTTTCTCCCACTTCATGCATCCAATTATTCATGGTCCAATACGGGAATATTTCTGACGCTCTAGTTTTACATGTATGTATGTTTCTGTGTGTGATTGTTCACATATGTGCCTTTCATCAGGGTGCGGATCGCTGTAAGGCTTCAATGCAGACACACTGTTAAGCTCCGCCCCTCTGTCCTGAGCCAGGGTGTGATTACAGCCAATACAATCTTGGGCAACCTGCACTGAGACAGACAGACAGAGAGAGAGAGAGAGAGAGAGAGAGAGAGAGAGAGAAAGAGAGAGAGAGAGCAAAAGAAAGAGTGGGCAGCCACTCTGGTGCACTCTGGTGGTTCCTGGAACAGCGTCACTACTTGCTTGATCTCCAAACAGCCCAACTGTGCCACAGAGTCTCGAGGAGGATCTAGCGAAAAAGCTAATCCAATGGACATATTTCAATGGACAGAGCTTTCTACTGCAAAACTTTTTTCCTCACTTGACCTCAAGTCCTTTTTCTGGGATTCAGGGAAGTAAGACAGTTTGGATTATTCTTTCTGGAGAACATGAGGATGACTACGAGCGTGTCCAAAAACAATCACGGCTTTGGAAGGATGGAGAGTCTCCAGTCCCCTCTGAGCACGGCCAAATGAGAATCTACGCAGTGCGAAGTGAGCTACAAAAGAAAAGAAAGAAACTCATCTCTGTTTAAACTAACATCGGCTCTTAGGTTTGGGCAGACGTATTTGTGAGATGCTTGTGTTGATTCTTGATGTGGTTCTTTGATGTAAAAAACAAAACCAAACTGCTACAACTTGCTGTCCCTGAGTCGAGCCGGTGAAAGATGAATACCACAGACGCATCCTACAGTAAGCCCTACCATGACCCAGTGGGACTCTGGATCCTCGTGGTGCTGGTCAACATCATAGTCATCACGGTGGTGGGGAACTTGTTGGTCATTTTGGCGGTGGCGCGCACTCCACAGCTACAGACTTCCACAAACATCTTCATCATGTCCCTGGCGTGCGCAGACCTCATCATGGGGGTCCTCGTTGTGCCTCTAGGAGCCAGTTATGTGGTGACAGGTGACTGGCTGTTTGGCAAAGTTTTCTGCGATCTCTGGACTTCTGTTGACGTCCTCTGTGTGACGGCCAGCATAGAAACTCTTTGTGTCATAGCCGTGGATCGGTATTTAGCCATTACAAAGCCGCTGCGGCACAAAGTTTTACTGTGCAAGTGGCGTGCCAGAGTCATAGTCATCTTAGTGTGGGTCGTGTCCACTTTAATTTCCTTTGTGCCAATTATGAAAGGGCATTGGCATTCAGATAAACCAGAAGCGTTGGAGTGCTACAAAAATGTTACCTGCTGTGACTTTGTGACCAACACCGTCTATGCTGTCTCATCCTCTACAGTGTCCTTTTACATTCCGCTGTTCATTATGATATTTGTGTACACAAAGGTTTTTGTAATAGCATCGCGACAGGTCAAGCTTATAGATAAGAACAGAATGCGTTTCCAAAATGAATGTCCGGCTGCACAGATCCACATTAGCCCCAGCTCGAACAGCATCCTGCAATCAGCGTGTGTGAGCTCCAGCTCCAACAACAGTGTAGCGAGGCGAAAGAGTGCCAAGAGGAGGCCATCCCGGCTTATGCTTGTCAAGGAGCACAAGGCCCTGAAGACTCTGGGTATCATCATGGGGACTTTTACGATATGCTGGCTGCCGTTTTTTGTCGTTAACATTTTAAAAGTTTGCCCCAACGTGGAGGAAATCCCAGAGTATGTCTTCCGGCTGCTGAACTGGTTGGGCTACATCAACTCAGGCCTAAATCCCATCATCTACTGCAGGAGCCCAGAGTTCCGCACCGCGTTCAAGAACCTGATGGGCTGCCCGTGGCTGTCCACGCTGTGGCTGAACGACCTCTATAAGGAACTGCGGACCCGCTGCTCCTGCTTTCTGTGGAAAGCAGAGTCGGGCACGACCAACTCTTTCCAAAAGACTTCAGCTGGGAGCACTGAGGGCAGTGACAGCCTGGCCAGCAGAAGTGAGGAGACCTCGCTGGGTCCTGCACAGTCCAACGGCAGCACAAAGCTGAGTGACTGTTAAGAACCAAATTCCAAACAGTAAGTTTCTTTTGAATTGCTTTCATTAAGCTCTCAAGTGTTTTTTTTATTATCATTATTTAAATCATATCCTGTTAAATCAAGATCACAATTGTTTTACTTTCACTAGATTACTTATTTATTCAACTTAGATAGCAGGAAAATCGAAAACCTCGAAGGTCACTCCTAAAAATGATCACAACACACTTTCTGTGACCCCGACAGCTGGTCTGAAGTCTACATTACTTATTTTCTTTAGTTTGGTAATCCCTGCTCTATCGTGTGACTTATGAGTGTGCCATTTTTGACATTGAGGAGTAGCTCTGAGAAAAAGAACAGCTTAGAATCAGAGAATCAGTTTGAATTCCTCACTGCTTTTAGGCATCGTGCAGAAGTCTGATCCTCAGTGAGTGATGAGCTGCTGTTTGCCTTAATGTTTGTAACTATGAAACAAAGTCTGTTTTCATTTGACATCAGTTGCAGAACAGATTTACAGACATTATTTCATTAGAAATTAAAAAAGAAAATAAATTTATCACACAGTCATATTTATTAGTTTCTGGCATGAAATATTTGATAAACGTCTAATACATTTCACTAGGGAAGATTTGTGATAATTAAGAAACGCAAGTTGATCTGGTTAACAAATGTTTCTGTTATGTACGTAAAAATATAAAACTGGACAACTATGAGTCCATCGACTGCTTTAAAATTATGGAAAATGTTGCTTTGTCCTTTAAAAGTAGAAATCCCCCTATATTCCAACACAACCCAGGAGAGAAATGAACTAATGGAAGAGCACAGAAAAATAAATGATTTCTGAGGAGCTGGCAGCTGTTGGGCTCTCACAGTACTATGACAGAAAAAATTGAAAGTTTATTTTCAGATTCTTATTAATGATTCAATAAACAATTGAAAAATGTACATGTATCGCTCAGTGCATATGCAGATGTTGATAGATTAGTCATTACACTAGGAACAATGCAAGAATTAAGTAGTGTAAATAGTGGTTAACTAATAGACCTCGCAATATTGTTAATATACAAGTTTATTAGTTGAAAAGTAAAAGATACAGTGTCTGGCAGTCATGAAAGATGAATTAATAATGTTGCAGTTTGAGCTCAGACGGTGATGACTCGGTTAACCACGTGGCACCTAGAGGCATACTTCTGAATAATGTTGTGCGTATCTCCCTGTCAGCGGGCCTCAGGGTGCCCTGCCCAACGCCGCCTGCAGCAGATAATCTTTATCACTTATGCACAAGACTTCCCCCCCATAGCTGGACACACTGTTTACTAAACCGACAGCCAATGAGAGGGCGGTTCTGGTGGAGGTTAGCTGGGGTTGGGCGGCTGGATGTTTGATTCATCACTTTTCTAAGAGACAAGCTGACAGCCAGCTGGCTGCACATGCTGCATCGGTAGATTCTACAAAAGAGCTTTTCAAACACAGCTTATTTGTAAAACTTATTTTCAATATGCATTGAGTTTTCTATGATTATTCCAAATTCCAAATTCAAATGGTCAGCATATTTTTTGCTGGACTCCCATAGGAGCTTATTATTCAATGGTTTCCAGACACTTCTTCAGCAATCTCAAATTTCAGAATATACATAGTTTCAGCCTCACAGGCAAAAGATTTGATGGCTTGATGACATATGGGTCTGCTTCAGGTGTGTCAATCTGAGTTTTAGAGACAAAAGTGTGTATTTGAATGTATAAAAACATCTGCAAAGCATCTATCAAAGTGTTTAAAACAACTACATTTGGGTCAGAGACCATAAGTCAGTAATGCCTGTAAAGTGTAAGTAATTTAACTGCAGAAAAGAAATTCATGTTATTAACTATAATTCAATCTTATGGAGCAACTGAACAAGTTTTATTTATATGGGCCTATTAATGTCATGTGAGCAGTTTTATGGTCTGATGATATTTCCTCAGATAAATATTTACCTGCCAAGTAATATATTATTTTCTTAAACAACACGTAGTACTTTACAGGCATCAATGGGCATAAAATTCAGGAGACATTTAGGGGCATATAAAAGTCTTCCATAAAAGGAGACTGGTGTGATCTGTTGTAAATCACCCCGGAGGGAAGGCTCAGTGGACTCACCCTATGCTTTGAGCCGGATTGCAAATGTAAGTGAGAACAGCCGTTCAAACAAGAACCTGATGGATTTAAGATTTGAGGACAGGTTTAACGAAGGAAATGACAAAGTGCCAAAGATTGTTGCCTGAAAGTGCAAATTCTGCCACTGTGGGCATCCGTCGGGGAAGTCATGCGGCTCCACAGCCCCCCGACATCTGTTTAATTAGAAGCAGCGAGGCACGACTGAGCAGCATATTTCCTCTAAACCCCAGAACAACATACAATAGCCATCATGTTGCATCATGAATTGCTGTTGTACAGGACTGAGGAAAAGTGCTCCATAACCACTCAGGTGAGTGGTTTTAGGGCACGGTAGTTCCACAAACACAGACATTATCAATAGTTACTTTGTTTTCATAGAATTACACGCTGGCACATCAGCACTGCCCTTATCAACCTCCAGAGCAATCTTCTGTTTGGGTCACGCACACACCATGCTATACGACAAGCACTTACTTTACATGTCTTTCCCTTCACATTGTTTCTTTGTTATGTCAGAGTCCACATGACTCTTTTTTTCACATATTTATGGAGGGTCTGTCTACCATGTTGCTCTTGAGTTCATGCATTATCACGGCTTTGCTGTTTCAAACGGATGGGGTCATCTTCAGACTACGACTGAAGTTAATTTTAAATAACTTCTGAACTAAATAGAGGATGAAATTGGAGCAGAAAGGAAGAATGTCCGATGAAAGTGAAATAGCAAAACAAACAGTGATCTCATATTTGATAAAGTACAGAAGCTCCGTAAAAATATGCATTAATATCAAATTATCAGCAGCTCAGGAAAATGCAGTGTTTGACAGCTCTACCGTTCAAAGTATTGAGACATGCATGTGAGGTTAAGACTCATCAACATCTCAGTTATAAAACACAACTTAAGACTGACACAGACTCATTTTTTGGGCATCAGATGAACCCAAATGGCTAAAACCTCAAACGGACTTTATTTTCAATATTAAAATGTGAAAAGCAAATATTTTTCAAGAGCGAGAAATCATTGAGGCATGTTTTTCCAGTTATAGCTCCAAATCGGTGAAATGGGTTGCAAAGCTGGACAGCTGAAACAGTTTCTTTTTTAAAGGAACAATACACGAAAATAAAAATACAGACAAATACAAGAATTTTTTAGATATGTTCATTTTTTCAGTCAGGTGCATTCACACCCTGAGCTTTAAATAACCATTTAAATAACCTTTGCAGTTTCAATACCGTCAAAGACACATTACCATTAATGAGTTGGTAAAAATGTCCAACATATGAGCTGACAACTCTTATGAAAACAGTCTAAATGGACGTTGTGTTCAGAGGCCCAGGATCACAGTTTTTTTTATGTAAGTAACTGTGTGTTACTGTGTTTCTAGAACAAATTGTAACATAATGGTTGCTAAATATGTAGATATAATTGCATTTCCCACTCAAGCATGCTGTATCCTCCCAGAGTGTTCAATCAATGGGAACTTTGTTGGTTAAAAACACAACGTTCAGCAGAGCTAACAGCCCATTTAAGGAAGCGATAAACATATACTTCTGCTGTGTTGGACACTCTGCATGTTACATCTGGCATTCTGCTGGAATTTGAATGTGTCAGTCTAAGGCTGACGACTGATGACTGACAAGGTTTTAACTGAGCTGCTGCGAGTGTGTGACATGTGATCTCATCAACAAGTTAAGAAAGCCTCTGAAGTAAGCATGCATAATTTGGC